CAATATTCACACAAATCTATTCTTTTTAAGTTAAAAATCGAAATCCTCTTCACATTTTATTCGCGATGAATACTAGAAACGACCAAAAGTAATCCGAATGATAACACTTTGCCAACACTTATAAATATTTAGGTTAAGATGTTTTAGTCCATTAACCTGTTTTAAACAGAAATCCTTTTCTACTATTTTCTATATTCATAAGGAAACAATTGCTGCGAGACGAGCACTATTTATCACATTTACTTTTCATATTCTTTTATTATGTTAAAATTATTCGCATTAGGGCAGCAAAAACGTGAAAGCAAAGGAAGTTTTTAAGGATTTTTCAGAAAATTTTCTTTTCCTTGAAAAGGTTAAGCAAGAAAAGATATCATTAGCGAAATGCAAAACTAACATTGTAAAGCCAGTGCAGCAAGCTCACAAGCTAGTTCTCTGGGACACTCCAGTTTTCCAGACTGAATATCCTGTTTCAGTTGCAAGAAAAACTGATACCTACAAATATAATATGATTTTTTTGAAATTTTCACTGCGTAAATTTTTGTAGTAAATAAAAAATCGACCGCAGCACACGCATCGGCAATTTCGCAACAACAATAAAAATTTTTCAAAAAAGGAAGCGAGTGATTTTTTTTTGTTCGAATTTTTTGCTAAATTTTATATTAGAAGACAAAAATTTAATAAAAAGAGTCGTATTTGTTATTATAAATACTATTTAATAAGTAAAAAGCTTTAAAATAAGAAACAAACATATTGTATAAAGCGTTAAAACAAAAAATATTTTTTGGAAAAATAGTGAAATTTAGTGATTTCATTGACATTTATTTTTAAGATTTTTTTAGTGTTGACGCTTTCAACAGAAAAGTTTATAAAAAAATTTTGAAAAGTTTTCACTCAACAAATTGATAAAAATCATCTTCCTTTTTGAGAAATTCTGCTTTGACAGATTTGATTTGTTGGAATCTCGCCCTACTCTCTCTTCAAATCTGTTTTTGGAGACAATTGGTTTATGATCTGGCAGATAACAAAAAGACCAGCTCTGCATAAAAATCCTTCAAAGGTTCTTCTACAACGGTGCGTGAAAAAAATCGTAAAAAGTTTTTTTTCCAGTTTCTTTTGAAATCAGGCATTGCCTAAGCAAAATCAAACGCATCACAAAAGATCTGGGGTTCTCATTTTTAAATTATTTCGAAAAAATAAAAAAAAATCTTTTTAAGAATTGAAATAATAAAAGGATTTTTTCTACAAATTTAAAAACCCAAATATTAACCTGGTCAACTCTTCGCGCAAATTATTCGGCTCTGATGTGTAAAATTTGACGCGAAAACGA